CGCCCTGACCAGAAATCAAACTCACAAACTTTTGGTGTAAGGACAGGGACAATGCTCCAATCAACTGAGCCTCACAGGCCAGGGCTCCACACTGCCTTTTAAAAAATAGACACTGACAAGCTGATCCTAAAATTATTATGAAAATACAAGGAATCCAGAATACCCATAACAATCTTGAATGAGAACAGGGAGGACTCCCACTTCCCAATTTCAAAACTTATTACAAAGCTATGATATTCAAAATAAAGCAATAGTGGTGTAAAGATAGATATATAGATCAATGAGATAAAATTGAAGGTATAGAAATAAACCCTTATATTTATGGTCAATTGATCTTCAAGGAGTATGCTAAGACAATTAAATGAAGGAAGAAATCGTCTTTTCAACAAATAGTGTGGGGACATCTGGATAATCACATGCAAAAGAATAAAGTTGAATCTCATACCTCTCATCATATACAAAAATTAACTCAAAATGGGCCATAGACCTAAACATAAGAGCTAAAACTATAAAACTCTGAGAGGAATACATAGGAGTAAACCTTAGCAAATCTTGGACTAGGCAATGGTTTTTAGATATGAAACCAAAAGCACCTTTAATAAAAGAAAAAATATACAACCAGGACTTTATCAAAATGAAAAATGTTGTGCTTCAAAGAACATTATCAAGAAAATGAATAGGACTTCCAGTCAAGATGGTGGCGTAGATAAATGCGGTATCACCTCCTCCCACAATCACATCAAAATTACAACTATACTACAACACAACCATCATTCAGAACTGCCTGACATTGAGCTAAATGGAAGTCCTACAACTATGAAATTAAAGAAGCAGCACACCAAGACTGCTAGGAGGGGTGGAGGCATGGACAGGCTGTTCCCACACCCATGTGTGGCAAATAAAAATTAGGAGGGACACCTCAGCTGGGAAGGTCCTCCCTGAGGGGTAAGGGGTCCCTATCCTACATCAGGCTCGCAGCTCAGGGTTCCAGCACCAGAAAGAAAAGTCCCCATAACTCCTGGCTGTAAAATCAGCAGGAACTGAGGCTGAGGCTGCTGGAGCCCCAGGCAGCTCCTCTTAAAGGGTCTGTGCACATACTTACTCCGACTTGCTCCCTCTAAGCTTGGAGGGGAAGCAGCTTGAGGAGCACCAGAGACATACAGGGAACAACTGAGCTGTATGGCCTCAGTATGAGGGCTGGAGAGGCAGCTTTCTGCTGGACAGATGTGCTGGCAGAGGCTGATGTTCCTTTGGTGAGCCCTTCCCTGAGCGGCACAAGGCACCATATCTGGGACTCCAGCAACCTAGTTCACACTGTTTGCCCACCCTGGTGATTCCCTGAGGCCCCAGCCCACCCAACTTTCGGGCCCACCCAAGCTGCTTCCAAAGGCTTTACCGTAAGAATGGCCTGTCTTGGATCCCACTTTAGAATTTCCTAAAATCTCTCAAACAAGCAGCATCTAGTCTCAGCAAGCCCCATACCTCTTGTTAAGTGGCCCCAGGCCTGGCACTAGAAGCAGCCAGGCTTGGTTCACAACTTGGTTTTGCCTGGGCACCTCCAAGCCCAGCAGATCACTTTGTAGCTTATGCCAGGTGGCCCCAGGTAGAACACAGGCAGTGGCTGACCTTGCCCTAGAGCCAGCACACCAAGTGGACAGCTCCAGACCACATCCAAACACCACCACCCAACCACCTCCACAAGTGACACATTCAATGTGTGGACTCAGTGAGTATCAGAGCCCCACTGTGGTGGGCCCCTACACAGCTGATTCTCCAAAGTAGTCAGAGGCCAGTGGGCAGTGTGCACAGCCAGCCCTTGCAGCTGATCAATTTGAGTAAATTCCTTCCATTGACATGCCAACAGCAATCAAGACTCAATTACAACAGAAGGGTGTACAGTCCACACTAGGGGTACACCTTGAGGACCCAACTGGGGTGATCAGGGAGGCTGTGACACTGGACACCTTCAACAATAGGCTACTCTATGAAGCCTAGGAGACATAGCAACTCTACCTAATAAATAGAAACAATAATAGGGAAGCTACCAAAATGAAAAGACAAAGAAACATGTCCCAAATGAAAGAAAAGAACAAAATTCCAGGAAAAGAATTAAACAAAATGGGGATAAGGAATCAATTATATGCAGAGTTCAAAACACAGGTTATAAGGTTGCTCAAGGAACTTGGTGAGACATTCAAGGAACTTAATGAGACCTTCAAGGAACTTGAAGAGATCTTCAAGGAACTTAGTGAGAACATCAACAACATAAAAAAGGGCCAGTCAGAAAGGAAGGATGCACTAACTGAAATAAAGAATGATTTACAGGGAATCAATAGGAGAGTAAGTAAAGCCAAGAAGCAAACCATCAATTTGGAATATAAGGAAGCAAAAAACACCCAATAAAAACAGCAAAAAGAAAAAAGAATCTTAAAAAATGAGGATAGTGTAAGAAGCCTCTGGGACAACTTCAAGCGTGCCAACATTCGCATCTTGGGGCTGCCAGAAGGAGAAGAGAGAGAACAAAAAATTGAAAACCTATTTGAAACAATAATGGCAGAAAATTTCCCTAACTTGGTGAAGGGAACAGGAATACAAGTCCAGGAAGCAGAGAAAGTGTCAAACAAGATGAACCCAAAGAGGTCCACAGCAAGACACATCATCATCAAAATGCCAAAGGTTAAATACAAAGAGAGAATCTTAGCCCTGACCAGTTTGGCTCAGCAGTTGGAGTGTCAGCCTGCGGACCAGAGAGTCTCAGTTTTGGTTCCCACTAGGGGCATGCATCAAAAAAAAAAAAAAAAAAAAAGAGAGAGAATCTTAAAAGCAGCAAGAGAAAAGCAGTTTGTTACCTACAAAGGAGCTCCCATAAGACTGTCAGCTGATTTCTCAAAAGACACTTTGCAGGTCAGAAAGGGGTAGCAAGAGATATTCAAGGTGATGGAAAGCAACGACCTACAACCAAGACTACTCTATCCCATAAAGCTATCATTTAGAATCAATGGATACATCAAGCGTTTCCCAGACAAGAAAAAGCTAAAGGAGTTCATCACCAACAAACCAGTATTATATGAAATGTTGAAGGGTCTTCTTAAAGGAGAAGAACACAAATATAAATAATAAAATGGCAATTAATAAATATCTATCAACCATTGAATCTACAAACACAATGAGCAAGCAGAACAGAAACAGACTCATAGATCCTGAGAACTTTTTGTTGCTTGCCAGATGGGTGGGGGGTGGGAGGATGGGTGAAAAAGATGAAGGAATTAAGAAGCACAAATTGGTTGTTAGACTGATAAGCCTCAAAGGGAAGGGAGGAGGGAGGGCGGGATGAGATAAACCAAAGAATTCTATGCATATATGCATAAACAATGGACACTGACAATAGTGAGAGGAAGGTTGGAGGGGGTGGGATTGGGGAGGAGGGGGGCTAATGGGGGGAAAAGGGGGGGCATGTGTAATACATTCAACAATAAAGATGAGTTAGAAAAATAAAATAAATAAATAAAAATTTTAAAAAAGAAAATGAATAGACAATCCAGACAATGGAAAAAAATATTTAAAAACCATATATCTGATAAGGGGATTGTATCTAGAATATTTACAGAACTCTTACAAGTCAACAATAAAAAGATAAATAGTCCAATTTTAAAATGGACAAAGAATTTGAATAGAGATTTCTCCAAAGAATATATACAATTGGCTAGTAATCACATTAAGAGATGTTCAGCACATTAGCCTTGAGGAAAATGCAAATAACAACCAAAATAAGATATTATTTCATACCCAGTAAGATGACTATAATAAAAAGAAAGATAATAATAATAAATATTGGCATGTGTGTGGAGAAATTAAAACCCTCATACATTGCTGATGGGTTTATGAAACTGGTATAGTCATTTTTCTCAGTTAATCAAAAGGTTAAATAAAGAGTTCTCATATGACCCAGCAATCCCTGTCCAAGGTATATACCCAGGAGAAATGAAAACATGTACACAAATAAATAAAAACTTGTACACAAATCTTCATAGCAACATTATTCATAATAGCTCAGATGAGGAAATCTAAATATCCATCAACTGATGAATAAATAATACATTGTATATTCATACAATTAAATATTATTTTATAATTTAAAAAATTAAGCACTGATACATTCTACAAGATGGATAAACTTTAAAAACATTGTACTAAGTAAAAGAAGACAGATTCAAAGGGCCACAGACAGTATGATTTCATTATATGAAATGTTCAGATAAAGGTAAAGTCATAGAGATAGCAAATAGATGAGTGGTTTCCATGGGCTTGGGTAAGAAGGCAAGGAGAATGATTGCTAATGAGTATGGGTTTTCATTGGAGGTGATGAAAATATTCTAAAATTACTGATGGTGGTGGCACAACTCTGAGAACATACTAAAAAGCTACTGAATTTTATACCTTAAAAGGGTGAACTTTATGGTGTGTGAATTATGTCTTAATAAAGTTGGTATTATAAATATGTAAATAAAGGAAGAAAAGACTTTTGATGCATTTTGCCCAATTGTGTTACAACACATTGTGCCAACTGTCATTCCCACCAGGTATGTCAGATGGTTTCCAGGCACCCTCTCCATCTTGGATGCATTCTTTCAAAGACGTCCTGTTTTACTTTGTCCTTTTTAAAGAGTGGTCCAAGGAATAAAAATGCTGTATTCCAAGTGTAACTTGATTTGTTCTGATATAAGTAGGACTACCACCAACCACCGAGGAGATTTCTCTATATTTTACAGCCTCTATGACCATTTACTGAAAGGGAATAACATTGCTGATGAAAATTGCACTTACAATAAAATATTATTGCATCTGGGCCACCACAATCTCTAATTAGTCAGTTACTCCTTGAGGGGAAGAAAAGTGTCTTATGCATCACAACAGTTCCTATATAATTTATGCTCAATACATACATATAGATGATCGGGGAACACAAATCTTAAATTATGAAGACATTCAGGAATACTCACCGCAGAGTCAGGGGGCTGAAGCGCACAACTGCTGGCTGGGGATTCGGTACATGGTGACTCTTTGATTAAATATTCCACAAAGTAGAAGGAGCCAAACACCCACTAGTGTGAGACAAGGATTGAGAAACAAACATCAAACCTCTCCATGTAGAGAAGTAACTGAGATTTGGCAGCATTATATTTACAGAAACCATACATCTCCAGCGTCGTTGTCAACACAGGTCTCCCTGTAATTCCCACCATGATCAAACCATGTATTATGATTTTATTATTTAGAAAACATAATCAGCATACCTTTCTTCCCTTCTTAAGGATTTGAATGGGCTCTAAAAAAAACCTTCCCTTGGGTGAGCTTATTTTTCTTCTACTATATTTGTTTTTAGATTCGTTTTTCTTTATGTAATAGATATCAACATAATTCAAATACAAATGAGCCTCCATTTCTCCTAACCCATAAAACTCAACATCCAGTCCAGGGCTTAACATGGAGCAGAAATTGGCTTGCTAAATGAGATCCATTGTCAATCAGATACGAAAATGTAGCAGTCAATAGTGAACCAAGATAGAATAAACCAAGGAGATTATGAATTAATTTCCATTCATGCCTTAAAGGCAATGAGGTGAAAGCAAAGCCCATAGCTCTTGTGGAAATTCCATGGGATAACTGAGAGACCGAAACATGAAAAATGTACATCAGGTCTACCAAAGTAGGAAATGAAGAAAGGCTCTTGGATTCTAATAAAAAGAAGTACCTTTCCCTGGTTGGTTTGGCTCAGCGGTTAGAGCGTCGGCCTGTGGTCCAGAGAGACCCAGGTTCGGTTCCCGCTAAGGGCACATACCTCGGTTGCAGTTTGTCCCTGGCCCTGGTTGGGTCGGGGCCATGGGGGAGGCAGCCACTCAATGTGTCTCTTTCACGTAGATGTTTCTCTTTCTCTCTCTCTCCCACTCTATCTGAACAAAAAAATGGAAAAATGTCCTTGAGTAAGGATTAAAAAAAAAGTGCCTTAATATTCTCTTCTCAGTTTAGAATTCAATAGCAACAGTCATGAGACACATTGTCAGTGTAACTGGACATTTCCACCTCACCTGGCTAGAAGTCTTGGAGACTTTGACTAAAGAATATTGCTTGGTGCTCTCATTGTTGAATTTTGCAAGAGACTCAGTGACAGCTTCCAGAACTCTGGGATCCGACATGTCAACAACGGAAGGTGATATGGGACAGTCGGGACAAATAAAAGCAATCTCTCTTCGAGAAACTGTTGATGCCAAAAAGAGTAGTTTAAGAATAAATGTCCTTAATGCCTTTTAATTTTATAAATCATATATCATAAATCATATGACCACACAAAAGTAGAAATTGAAAAAAATATATACTCAGTTTTGGCAAGGATGGAGTGGAAAAGACATTATCTGGAATGAAACAGCTGTCAGCAGTGAATTTTCTGCAGTGAGCATGTATTCCTTTCATAGTTTATTTTAAAAATCAAAGCAAGAGTTTTTTCACCTTGTACAAATTTACTTATGCTAGGAATTTTGTTCAAAACATATATGTGTTTATATTGATATAAAAACATTTCCCCCTACTAGTAGCTTGATATGTTCTATCATTATTGCCTCTGTAAAGCAGCTGAGTGTCTTAAATGGCTGGGATTTCATTATTAGTATGTCTTATTCACCTTTTGGTCTCCAACATCTGAGATAATGTAAGTGCTTAGTAAATGCTTGTTGAATGAAGGAATGAGTAAGTGGCATAGGAAAGGTGGAAGCACACTCTCTCTGGTTAGAAAATGCAAGTGAACCAGAAACAAAAATTGGCCTCGTCACTGTATGACTGGATAGAATACTCATTCTAATGGTACAGCCAGAATTTCTGACTGGGAGGAGCTTCGGGTTACATAACTAGTGTGAAAGTCAGGCTGGGAACTTGTCTGCAAGTTGTTTTTACAGAGCAAAACAATTGATCAGTTGTGTGTTTGAGTGTATTTGGGTGTACTATGGGGGAGTTACATTCACAGATTGTCACTCATGGCACCATCCCCACGTGTCACTTTCTGACCTCTCGTACCTCTGGTACCTGTGACTTCTGAGTCCTGATCTGTTTTGTTAGTTTTTGTTGTCTAATTTAAGTAAGTCTCATCTTCACAACCAGAAGGCTTAAACTGCAGCTAATACAATATTTGCTCTGTTGCTTTGTCCCTCCCCTCAGAGGAGTCAGCAGTATTGTTATGACCTGGAGCTTGTTAGAAATGCAGACTCTCAGGCCCCACAACAGGCCTATGGAATCAGAGTCTGTACTTGAACAAGATCCACGGGGGCAGTCACATGCACACAATAGTTTGACAAGTAGCCACATTCGATTTTCCCATGACTTAGATGCTTGCTTTCCAAAGAAGGACCCAGAATGAATGCATGTGGATATTTGAAAAGTCATTAGTTTCAGCCTCTTTCTTAATTCATTTATTCACGTATTCAACAATATTATGGACTTCTTACACTTAATAGAAACTTGGGAAAGGTTGTAGCAGGAACAAAGAAGGCATAAAATATCCTACATGAAGTAAAATAGAAGACTGAATTATGGGAAGTTGAATTTCACAGGGGAGACAAGTATGGGATATAAGAACCCGGCCTTGGTATGAATAGGAGGTAAGAATAGGAGAACCCTATACACTCTGGACATTGCCCTGCTTAATTCTCTTTTTATATCTTTCATTAAAATAAACAAAGTCAGAGTGCTCTCTTACCTGGGCGAAGAGTACAGTTATAAGCAGGTAAATAAACAATTCTTCTTGGTAAGTTAACATAAAGTATTGCTTTGCATTTACCATAAACCTGGAACAAAGAAACACATTTTATGACATTGTGGTACAAACTCTGACTTTTAAAAATACTCCCAAAATAAAATTGGACATGTTATTTGTAAATAATGAAAACCTAAGGTAAATTTTGGTGGCTTTGGGTGTGAGAAACTGCCAGCTGATCATCACACAGTTTAACCTTCTCTTGGGACTCAGCTAGACTGCATTTCCCAGCTTCCCTCCCAGGTAGGTGTTACTGTGTATAACTGAGTTCTAACCCTAAGAAGGTGAGCAGAAGTGGCTGTATACACTCCCAGGTCTGGCCTATGAAGATCTCCCATATGATCTGTTCTCCACACTTCTTCTCTTTCTATAGCTGGATGCAGATGAGCATGGTGACCACAGAAGTCATGAGTCAAAGGTGGCAGAGTCTAGAGCCACAATGTGGAAGGAACCTTGGTCTCCATATCACTCCTGGAGGAAGGCCTCCTCTTAACCAGGAGTTCCTATTTTGAACTTTACATGAGTAAGAAATACATTTCTATCATGTTGGAATCAGCATACACTTTTTGTGTATGTGTTATAAATAGCTAGTGTCATCTTAACAAATATAATTCACAACAGCGTAAATGGGACTCTCAGAAATACCTCTCCAAAATCAGATAAGTGCAGTTTGACAAATCTGGTTGAATGATTAGAAAAGAAATCTTGATAAAATAGTTTACTTCTAAACACAATCATGCACTCAAAAATGTCATATCAATTAATGGAAATAACTCAGGATAATTGAGAACAAATAAAATTTGATACTTATTTTCAAGCCTCTTCAATGGTCATCTTTAAAAAAATCAATTCTCAGGCCCTTTAGGTTCTATAATTCCAAGAAATCCTTTCATATCACCTCTGCGAGCTTTCATACTTTAAGCCCTTCCTTTCCCCAGCTTCAAATTTCCTATCAGTGTTCAATAAACAAATAAAAAAGCTCTTCCTTTACTGCTTCTATAGTCTTCCTTAAATGTAAACACATCCAGAGTGCTACAGCTCAGATCTTTTTCTCATAATTTAAACCCAGGCTTGGAGCCTACAGAAGGGTCTTGGAAGTAGGAAACAATTTGAGGGTCATAACCCCAATGGGACTCTCAGAAATTCCTCTGATTAAACTCTGTTTTGTTCAACAGAATTAGAATAACCACATAAGCACCATTCCCAAGAGATTATAAAGAAGGCCATTTAATAGATGGCACACATTGAACAATGTTTATTCTATAGACAGAGGACATCTAGTTTCTCCCCTAGAGCTCCTGGGTCACAAACACTTACCGATTCATGAAGCAACCCCACCTCACAATCGCTCCATGCTTTCTTGGTGAGCACATGGCATTTAGTCTCCAACACGTCCAGTGTGAGATAGAATAGAGATCCCAGACCATCCTGTGGGAAGAGATGAAAAAACGCACCATAGCCCACATGAAACATAAACCCCTAAAGACTTGCCCAAAAGTTCATGGTTTATGGTAGAACCGAGGCTATCAGGTTTGTGATGATTTCTAATAAACTGTGGAACACTAGACAAGTGTCAGGGTAGGGTACTATTAGCACTTGTTCTTAGTAACAATAAGAGCATATAGCACAACCTTGATTAGGGGAGCTGAGAGTTCTCAGCAGGTTTCCAATTTGGAAAGCACCTGCCAACATGTTTCTCTGGGTTTCCACCCACTGGTCAGCCCATGCAGCTTGTGCAAACTACCCCAGATAGGGACTGTCACTTGCCTGTCTGTGTTCTTGGACATCTCTCACTCGGTTGAGGCTCAGCACATAGCCTTCCTTTCGGTCATCGTTGATGCTCTTCAGGGCAAGTCCCACTATATCCAGCACGCGTGTGTCATTGCAGTCATGGGAGTGGAAAAGAGAAAAGTTGGGGACCTGCAGGGGCACAGATCTAGTATTGCAGCACGTGGCCAAGATGCAGAGCAGCAGGGGTAGGAGCAGACCCATTCTGTAGGAAACAAGACCCAGGATGGTTCAGTATTTGGAACTGCAAGAATGGACTAGTTATAGAGCTCTGTAAGGTCAACTTGAACAGTTTTGTAATCACAGTTCGAAACTTGGACCAGAATTTAAAGAATAGTGCCCCATTTCATTTCCTTGATCTCTAAATGTAGAGTTCCCTTAGCCAGCACTTTGGATGGGATTTGCCAATGTTTCTAATCTTAGATGCTTGAGCAATCTTGTACGCATGGGTACATATAAGCAAATTCTAACCTTTTCCCAAGAAATCATAATAAACACTTGGTTCAAGGCTCCTAAAAGGTAATGATTAGATTCTGGCTTGCCTCTAGGACTTCAAATGAATCAGAGTATGCAGACTGTCCCATTCTTGCATTTCCTCTAGCACCTTTCCTCTCACTGATGTCTGTGGCCACACTACTAGTTACCCCAAGCTTGGAGCCTGAGATCATGGCCATGGTGCCAATAGTATTCAGTGAATTCATACTTCCTGCTTGACTTCCCATGTTTACCATTCTTGTTAGATCAGAAAAAAGGCTCTAATTCCACATTGCCTACATGAAAGACTGGTGAGATTCCTAAAGCACTTTGAGATCTACTAGGATGTGGTCTATGTAGTTTCACTTAGGTTTTTTAAAATAAAGACTTCCTAAAATAGCCACAGCTCTCACCTGGGGGCTATGGCAGAGAAAGGACAGTCTAGGCTGGAACTCTGTGGGGACACCTGGGATTTGGAGGGCACTCAGAGTTTTTGCTGATTTTTGGCCACAAAGGACAGTGGCCAGTGTGCTCCTTCCCAGAGCTATGGCGAAAAGCAGCAGCACCCCCCCATGGAGATTCAGCAAGAGCATACAGTGGAGTAAAACAGCCTTTTTAATAAATAGTGTTGGGAAAATTGGACATTGCAGTCATGGAGTGGAAAAGAGAAAAGTTGGGGACCTGCAGGGGCACAGATCTAGTATTGCAGCACGTGGCCAAGATGCAGAGCAGCAGGGGTAGGAGCAGACCCATTCTGTAGGAAACAAGACCCAGGATGGTTCAGTATTTGGAACTGCAAGAATGGACTAGTTAAAAAAATGGAATGGACTACATGCAAAAAAAATGAAACTAGACCATCAACTTACACTATACACAAAAATAAACTAAAAAAGGATAAAAGACTTAAATGTGACCTGTGAATCCATAAAAATTCTAGGAGAAAATGTAGGCAACAAAATTTCGGACATCATACGCAGCAGAATTTTCACTGATATATCACCTTAAGGCAACAGAAACAAAGGAAAAAATGAACACATGGGGCTACATCAAACTCAAAAGCTTCTGCACAGCAAAAGAAACAACCACCAAAATGGAAAGCCAACCACTGTATGGGAGAGCATAATTGCCAATGATATATCAGATAAGGGGTTAATTCCCAATATATATAGAGTGCTCATACAACTAAACAAAATTAAGACAAAAAACCCAATTAGAAAATGGGCAGAGGAACTAAAAAGACACCTCTCCAAACAGGACATACAAATGGCCAAGAGACATATGAAGAAATGCTCAACATCACTAATCATCAGAGAGATGCAAATTAAAACAACAATGAGGTATCACCTCACACCTGTCAGAATGGCCGCCATCAACAAATCATCAAACAACAAGTGTTGGCGAGGGTGTGGAAAGGGGACTCTAGTACACTGCTGGTGGGAATGCAGACTGGTGCAGCCACTCTGGAAAACAATATGGTGCTACCTCAAAAAATTAAAAATTGAACTTCCATTTGACCCGTGATCCCACTTCTAGGAATATACCCTGAGAAGCCTGAAACATCAATCAGAAAGAATATATGTACCCCTATGTTCATAGCAGCACTATTTACAATAGCTAAGATCTAGAAACAGCCCAAGTGTCCATCAGTAGACAAATGGATGAAAAAGCAGTGGTACATATACACAATGGAATACTATGCAGCCGTAAGAAAGAAAGATCTCCTATCCTTTGAGATGACATGCAGGGACCTGGAGAATATTATCCTAAGTGAAACAAGCCAAGCAGAGAAAGACAAATACCACATGATCTCACTTATCTGTGGTATATAATGAACATAACAGTCTAAGGAACAAAGTAGTCCCAGAGACATGGAAGTGGGGTACAGACTGACAATCCCCAGAAGAGGGGGTGGGGGGGAGATAAGCCATAGTACTTACATGCATTTATGCATGAACAATGAACATGGACAACAAAGCTGGAGACAGGGCAGGGAGGGTACGGGAGGGGGTATCAGTGGGAGAAAAGGGAGAAACATCTGTAACAAACATAAATTAATTAAATAAATAAAATATAGTTAAAATAAAAAAATAAAATCAATTTTTAAAAAAGAAAAAATAAATAAAACAAAGACTTCATCAAGTAAAAAACAAAAAAAGGAATGGTATAGTTCATGCATCATACTCCAAATCTATGCTTCCTTCCTTGGAGCTGTGTGGAAGTAAACTCATAAGGAAACAAAAACCTGATAATATTGTTAAGAGATAGATCATGATTGGCAGGTAGGCTGGAATATCAGTAAGTCCCACAAAGTTGGGACTCATGCTTTTCTCTTTTAGTTTCTGCTTGGGGTTCAGAAACTTTGTACTGATTGGAACTGTACAAAAGGCAAGCTTCTGCTTAGGGTATCACAGACGTTATTCCATAGAACACGAGTCCACGAGAGGTTTTCCTCACTCCACTCTTGTCTCAGTCTCACTTCCACCTCTCACCCCACCCTCAGTGTTCTGTGCTCAAACAAGTTTGGGAACTGGTGCATTCATAGATATACCGTCGTATAGCATCTCAACACACACTAGATGTTGAAGGTTCTCCAAAACTTTGAGGTGAAGAAATCTATTTATGTAACAATGTCCTACATTATTTGACAATAAGAGAAGAGTCTTTGTAAAACTTATCATTAATCCACAAAATACAATTTGGGAATTATTGCATAAGTAGATAAAAATTGCTATCTGTGAGGTTTCTTTGCAAGAAACTTTTCAATGGTATGAAGATTTTGATGGGAAATGAAGATATTTCACATAGATTAAAAAACCAAAAATATTCTGGCCTAAACCAAAATTCAGGGTGTGGTAAGCCATGGCTGATAACAGTGAACTAAACATAAGCAAGGCTTTTAATGTTACCTATATTTATTTAAAACTTTAGTTTTACACTAAACTTAAATATAATGATTTGTGTTTCTATTTAGGATTACTATATTTAGCTACTGTGATATAATTTTAAAAAAATTTTTATCCTCACCCGAGGACATTTTTCCATTTTTTGTTCAGATAGAGTGTGTGTGTGTGTGTGTGTGTGTGTGTGTGAGAGAGAGAGAGAGAGAGAGAGAGAGAGAGAGAGAGAGAGAGACATCGACGTGAAAAGGACACATCAAGTTGTTGCCACCCACACTAACCAAGGCTGGGGACAAACTGCAACCGAGGTACGTGTCCTTAGTGGGAACCAAACCCGGGTCTCTCTGGACCGCAAGCCAAAGCTCTAACTGCTGAGCCAAACTGGCTAGGGCATACAATTTAAATTTTTATTAAAAAGTTGAGTGGAAAATAGTTTTCTTCTCATTTGATAACCAAGTTATGGCACTGTAGATCATTTAGCAGTATATATAGATAGACTCACTGAAAAGTGCCCTTAATCGGAATTTAGTGAATCTAACCAGAGAGAAAATTGAGGTGTAAGAAGGTGGAGTGCATCATAACTGAATCAGTGACAGAACCATCCCATTCATCCCCCCATACCCTGCAGATGGCTTCCTTCACCCAGAGATACTGGTTCTCATGGGTTTCACTCCCAATGGGTGGACTAATTTCAACTCTAACCAGTACTTCCTGTACACTGATCAAAGACAGGAAAAGGAAATGGCATGGCTGAGAGCCTACCTACTGTGTCCCAGCACTGCTGAGTGTGAGACACACTTAATTCTCACAACACCTTGTTGGGAGGTATCTTCTTTCCCATTTGATGGCTATGTCACCCAAAGCATGTGTGCTTTCTGATACCCCCAGTGTGGTGACATCTGCTGAACTAACAGTCAGAACTTGATGGCATGACACGTTCTCTGGCACATTTCCTTTCAGTGGAAGCTCAGCTATGAGCACAGAGAAGGGACAATGATCAACTAGCCCTGTCTGCAGTGCATTAGAGGCAGAAATGAGGGTATTGTCCTCCAGGATGCAAAACCTTAATTACACCTGTTGCTGGTAATTACCGCTTACCAGCTGAAGTGAGTAGTCCCTGTTGGTAATACAAGAGTAAGTGTGAATGGGGAGAAGGGAGTGGGGCAGGGGGATGAGAATACCAGGGTGAGTTGGCAGAGCAGGAGTGGGTGGAATTTAACATTGTCTGCCCTTCCACACTACACCAATATATTCTGATTAGTAGGAAATGAATAAAAAACAAAATTTCTAAAGTTATTTTCTTCATTCATGAGCATGACTTCGCCACTTTTCAATGGTCACAAAGATTGTTAATTTTTTTTAACTTTCAAAACACAGTTGAGAAGTTCTGAGGACCCTAAGCAATATCTTGGCTGCATAGGGTATAAGTCTCATGATCCAGGTGCTCAAAGCACACAGAAAAACTGGCTATTAAAGATTCCTATATGGAGGTGATGGTCTGCAACACTCAGTTGTTTTTCTTGGTGGTAAGTAAAGAATAAATAAACTTTGAGGAATGCCTCTTTAACACAGTTTGGTTTTGCATCTCCTGAGCCAGTCTGATGGCCTTGCAGCTGAGCTGGACAAAACGCCTCGGCGGATCTGTTAGAGAAGTGCCGGCTCGTGGCCTCTCTGTCAAAGAAAGCATCCGTTTCTCCTTCTCTAATTTTTTTTTTTAAAACTGGGAAGATATCATAAAATCACAGATTCTAAAAAAGAACAAGAAAGGTGTGGGGAGAGGGAGGAAAAAAAGTGTGAAGTTTCACACAGAGACCTGCTCAAAAGTTTAAGAAA